GGTAATTATTACCCCATAAACACATAGGTTTGGTCCTAGCCTTTCTATTAGCTCTCAGTGAGATTACACATGCGAGCATCCGCAGCCCTGTGAAAATGCCCTCTAGAACACCAGAACATGAGGAGCGAGTATCAAGCACGCACACATGCAGCTCAAAACACTTTGCTTAGCCACGCCCCCAAGGGAAACAGCAGTGACAAACTTTTAGCAATGAACGAAAGTTTAACTAAGCTACACTTACCATCAGAGTTGGTCAATTTCGTGCCAGCTACCGTGGCCATACAACTGACTCAAGTTAATAGAGCCTGGCGTAAAGAGTGTTTAAGATTTTATTCCCAATAAAGCTAACCTGTAACTAAGTCGTAGAAAACCCCAGTTATAGTAAAATGTTCTATGAAAGTGGCTTTAGTATCCTGAATACACTATAGCTAAGGTACAAACTGGGATTAGATACTCCACTATGCTTAGCCCTAAACCTCAATAACTTAACTAACAAAATTATTCGCCAGAACACTACAAGCAATAGCTTGAAACTCAAAGGAACTGGCGGTGCTTTACATCCATCTAGAGGAGCCTGTTCTGTAATCTATACACCCCAATAAACCTTACCACCTCTCGCCCTCAGCCTGCATACCGCCATTTTCAGCAAACTCCTTAAAGATCGTGAAGTAAGCAGAAGTATCATCATAAAAACGTTAGGTCAAGGTGCAGCCAATGAAATGGGAAGAAATGGGCTACATTTTCTAAATTAGAAAATCACACGATAGCCTTTATGAAATCTAAGGGCCTAAGGTGAATTTAGCAGTAAATCAAGAATGGAGAGCTTGATTGAAGCAAGGCCATTAAGCACACACACACACCGCCCGTCACCCTCCTCAACCATCATATAAAAGTGTATTAACAATAAGCCACTACATACTGATATAGAGGGGATAAGTCGTAACATGGTAAGTGTACTGGAAAGTGCGCTTGGATGAATCAAAGTGTAGCTTAAATTAAAGCAACCGGGTTACACCCGGAAGATCTCACAACAATTGATCGCTTTGAGCTAACTCTAGCCCAAATCCTCATTCAACAATACTATCTAAATACAATAACTAAATCATTCACCTAATACAAAAGTATAGGCGATAGAAATTATATACTAGGTGCAACAGATATAGTACCGTAAGGGAAAGACAAAAACCTAATAAGCATAAAAAAGCAAAGATAAACCCTTCTAACCTTCTGCATAATGAATTAACTAGAAACAACTTTATATAGAGAACTTCAACAACACCCCCCAAAACCAAACGAGCTACCCAAGGATAGCTAAAAGAGTGCACCCTCTGAAAAAAAATTATGTATTTTTACATCAGAAAAAAAGACTTTTTTTCCTTCTACAAGATCTTATGGAAGCTTTTCGCTTTTCTCTCTTTTTCTTTCCCCCTTTTCTCTCTTTCTGCAAAGAAAAAAAAAGACTTATTGACTTAAAAAAAAAAAAAAAAGAAAAGAGTGCACCCGTTTATGTGGCAAAATAGTGGGAAGATCTGTGGGTAGTGGCGACAAACCTGCCAAGCCTGGTGATAGCTGGTTGTCCAAGGCAGAATCTTAGTTCAATCTTAAATTTACCTACAGAATCATTTAATACCCCCATAAATTGAATTGTTAGTCTAAAGAGGGACAGCTCTTTAGACCCTAGGAAATAACCTTAATATAGAGAGTAAAATATTTCACTACCATAGTTGGCCTAAAAGCAGCCATCAATTAAGAAAGCGTTTAAGCTCGATACTTACTCACTTTTAATTCTATTCACTCCACTGAATTCCTAAAACACACTGGACTAATCTATTACTTAAAAGAAGCAATAATGTTAGTATAAGTAACATGAAATTATTCTCCCCCCATAAGCTTATCTCAGACCGAAACAACTACTGTTAGTTAACAGCCTAATCATTATATACTACAGCTTAAAACACCCATTAACTAAACTGTTAACCCAACACAGGCATGCATCCAGGAAAGATTTAAAAAAGTAAAAGGAACTTGGCAAACTTTACCCCTGCCTGTTTACCAAAAACATCACCTCTAGCATTATTAGTATTAGAGGCACTGCCTGCCCAGTGACACATGTTCAACTGCCACAGTGCCCTGACCATGTAAAGGTAGCATAATCACTTGTTCTCTAAATAGGGACTTGTATGAATGGCCACACGAGGGTTTAACTGTCCCTTTCTTTTAATGAGTAGAATCGACCTATCCGTGAAGAGGCAGATATACACAAGCAAGACGAGAAGACCCTATGGAGCTTCAATTTAATAGTATCAACAACACCTTAAAAACCCACAGGCATTAATTTACCGTCAATGGACTATAGATTTTGGTTGGGGTGACCTCAGAGCACAGCACAGCCCCAGAAAGACACATACCAAGACCTCACTAGTCTAAGTAAATCTATAGTTACTGACCCAATAACTTGATCGACGGACTAAGTTGATAACCCTGGGGATAACAGTGCAATCCTATTTTAGAGTCCATTTCGACAATATAGCCAATCTTGAATTCAAGTGTCTGGCCTTTGTTCCAAGCCTCCGCTTGGAACTTTCAAGCACTTTGAAGGCCAAGGCGGGCGGATCACCTGAGGTCGGGAGTTCAAGACCAGCCTGACCAACATGGTGAAACCCCGTCTTAAAAAAAGAAAAAAACAGAACAGACACACAGATATCCCCCACGAGGAAGGACCCTTTTCATTAGCAGAGATGAATGGAAATGTCATGTCTGAATGCAATTCCTGCTCCCCACTCCCACCCCACAAAATCCCAAAAGTGAAAACAAATAAAATCCCCAAGATTTACTAAAAGTCATCCCTCCAAACCTAACTAGCTGCTGCAGTGGATGATAACCAAGAAAGGAAACAGCTGGCCATCACATAGCATTCCTGTGCAACTGAACGGGCAGCAGCATGGGAGCAAGAATCCCGAATGAGTGACAGGTGTAGATAATCCACCTTACTTCATACCTGCCCCTTCCCTACAT